AATATTAGTACAAAGAGGCACCAAATAGATATGCGCCACATAAATCATTCGATTTATGTGAGGGCTAGGATACTTCGCGGGTGCCTAAACCGAACCAGGTGGTTTCTTAGGGGATCACACCACGAACCTCTGACCTAAAGGTCTAATCCACAAGACAATGGAGCAACGTTAGGAGATACAGTCCCATGGTAGCCGGTGATCAATAGTTAGTTCACACGCCATTTGTTTCCTTGAGATTCTGGAGCCCATGTGCACTGTTGGTTTGAAATCAGGTTTTTCCAACTCCCCTAGGTGAATCCCCCGTATCCACCAAACTCGGTTAAAGCGCCGAACAATAACTTTTCGTCCTTTCAGTCTCGTAAACAACACTTCTGCCACGAGAAGGCAGTGACTTCCACGGTAGTGGTTGTATACACGTGGACACTTGAGAGCATTTCAAGAGGGAGAGCCGACTCTCCCCGCTCTCGGCCGTACTAGGGCATTCGAAGGCCGGTTGGAGGTAGTCAACAGCAAACCTCCAATCACCATATTATCTCAACATAACGCACGCAATTTCGAGTCACCTAGACTAGTAGCCTTATTGCAGCTTGGTCGATAGCATTCGATCTGCACTAAGGACCTAACGTTGATCATCACTCAGTGATCAATCAATTGTGAACAGCGACATTATACACAGTTGTGAAAAAAGTTCGGCGAGACTATAATTTATGGACGAACTAATCAGGTATAAGATAACAGGTCCCGGATTTCGGCGCGAAATTCAGCCACCTATTTGGCTAAATAAAGTTTTGGTATTATAGCTGATGTCGGTTCGTGATGAAAACCCTAGATGTAATTCGTAACTCTAATCATCAACTGTAAATCATAATTCTAATTCTTCACACTGCTTTATAACATTCATTTGGTTCTAGTTATAAGGTGAAGACTCCCAAGGTCAGTTTAGCGTCACTCAAAAGTCCACCATAAATTATAGTCTCACCAAAAGTTCTATCACAAGATGATAGTGTTATCGACGGATTTTACAGTGAATGTTAAAAATAAGATTAATCAACTTTCATAATTTTTTAAAAGGTTATAATTACTAAATAGATGGAGATGTTTGAATAGTTGAGATTAAAATAATATTTAGATAAAATATATAGTTCTTGTGAGTCATTTACATTAAACAATCAGGATAACTTCTACAATGAAGTATTATTAGGCGAGACGTTCAGTTACAGGGGCTGGATCAATGTTTCGTGCTGTCTAGCACTCTGATAAAAATGTACTTGAAATTATTATTAGCTGACGCTTTCTATAAAATTCGAACAGATCTGAGTCGTTACTACTGAGATGTTCGGATCGCAACTAATCTTTTATAAAATTGATATATTTACACTAATTGATCATTAAGTAGTGACTGAATTCATGTTCGACTAGTTTTTCAACTTAATTGAATTCTATCAGATAATTTGTAGTTGATACTGAGGTACAAGATGTTAGGTATTTGCAGGCAGCTGACACTTGTTGTAAAGATTTATTTAAAATTTTGAGATGATTAGTGCTTTATATGACGGAAGAATCTTACTAATGAAGATCACTGAATACTGAACAATACAGTTCAATGATTGATGTGATAAGTTCAGATTATAGTGTTTTCTAATGTGAAGTTCAACCAAATCATGTACCATGCATGAAATAATACCAAAGAACACAATTGGATCAATAAAGCAGTAATTACAAAGTATCATCTGTCACACAACCTAACTGTTGAGAATGTTAAATTCCCTGAAAACAACCTACTGATTATTTTGTAACCTTGATTTTATAAATTCAAATTTCCATTAAATCGAGACAAAAACTCTTAGATTCTTACTATTGATGATGTTATGTTCATATTATCCATTTTCATTGTCAGTATGTTAAGTGTTTACTCTATTTTTAAAGTCTTTGTAGATATATTCATAGGTATGTGATTAGATGGTGATCGGAGGTAGTCGACAGTAAACCCCGAACCCGGATTTCGTGCTATTTGGCACTCGTCAGCAAGGTGTATCTGTAATCTTGAGGGAACTGGTGCTCCCTGGCAGATTCGATCCCGTATCACCCAGCTTCACAGTCAGAGACGTTACCACTGAGCTATCCGGGTCACGACTGACCTCCTGGGAGCACCAGTTCCCTCAAGATTACAGGTACACCTGGCTGACGAGTTCCAAGTAGCACGAAACCCGGATCCAGGGTTTCCTGTCGGCTACCTCCAACCACCATCTAATCTCAATATATAATGCACGCAGTGTCGAGTCACCTAGACTGGTGGCCACATTGCAACATGGTCGATAGCATTCGATCTGCACTAAATAAGGACTTGACACGCATGACATTGATCACCACCCAGTAATCAATCAATCGTGATAGGTATGTGATGTTTGCTTGAATAACTGAGTGACTTTACTAGAATCAATCTTATTTGATGTCTACGGATAAATTATCTTTATAAAACTATCTTTATGATAAGTCAAAGTGAAGAGAGAAATATGCTATCCAGATATCTGAATCGAAACTTAAAAAAAGAATATCACCTTTAGTATTACGACACATCACTAATATGAGTAGTATATAGGTAATTAAAACTCAAATAAATCATAGAAAATAAAAGTCAACTAGAAATCAAGGTTTAACGTAAAAAAAAAAGGAACAACGTTCTAGACTTTATTGAACGAACAAAAAATACATACAGATTAAAGTCCATTCTCTGCTTTTTATTTGCCTCCAAAAATTCACGATGAAATACTCCCATATCTGGTATCTTATGTTCAGTTGAATTATTTTCTAAATTTTTCATTTTCTCTTTTTCTAAAAATGCATTTTTTGCCTATGAGAACAATGATAATGATAAAAAAGAAGACAAATTACTTCTGTTGTGTACAAGACTTCAATAAAATCATATGATAATAATAATAATAATATCTATTTTGTGTGCTAATAAGATGTGGCAACTTGGACCGATGCATATATGTGCCTGGTCCTACTTTGTAGCTGACTGACTGACTGATTTTGTGTAAATACTATTGAAATAAAGAATTGTATAAACATCTACCTTACTTTACATGTGTACCTACTTTCAACATACTGACAACCTAGGTCAAAATGGTATAAGGAACGATATAAGGAAGTTGATAAACCTAAAACATTTATACACTTTACAAGGAACTTGAAAGCACCAATGATAACCGTACTAAAAGACTGCTGTTTGATGGCATGATATACCATTTGTACTCAAACCCCTTTGCCAGAGTTTTACACAGATCACAGAGATTACTTAATTAATAATTCTGATCGAATAAAAAGGATAATAATCTACACTAAATGAAGTATAAACACTAAGATAACAGGAATGCCGAATAACCAATGAGAATTCACATTGTTTTAATAATCAACCCCAGTTCAATTCTGTCAATGAAATTGGTTCTGATACCAATTCATATAATTTGTAGCCGCTTAGAACCCGGAGACAATGGTTGCATTTATTTTGAGTAGGTGTACATACGTAATATCAGGACATTATTTATCGATCAAAACTGGCTATAAAAACCGATAAACATGGAACAATTGTATGACATATTTATGTGGTCGAATATCTGCATGGCAACCAATGGGAAGATCCTGGAGGAAAATCTTCAAACTGATTAAAGATGTGTTTCTAGAATAGCAAACGTGATGTCGAAAATTAGGCAATAACAACAACATAAAGTAGTTATATAGCTAAACTGTGTCGCGTGTAAGACAGTCATTACTCAGGCACACTCGTTGCACATTATCAATCGATCGGGATATCTCATCCATTAATTTGACAATCCTTAGACGTATTTTCTTCACAAACTATATACGGCTAATTAATAAAACAATTGCTAACCGCTTCAGTAGTAAAGTGCTCAAGTAAATCATCGTTTTGAACTTGTCAGAAACTGTGAATGAGACTATTAACAACGATGATCAGTCAAATCTGTCAAGTTACCTATCAATACCACAGAACTTTAATGTGCAACCAAAACAAGAAAAATTATCGGATTATTTAACTGACTTTACTTTATGCATGAAAAAGGGGTTTTTCGATCACCACTAACACAACACATTGTACATTATGTGTACAAGAAAAATACAGTTTTTAAGTGAAAACTTAAAAAGGCTTAACGATATAAGAAAAATAAATATAGAAAACATATAGAATTGATTAATGTCAAATCTTCCAAAAGTCACTCTTTAGTAATAAAATTCATCTTAGCCAGTTGTTTTGTAGTGCAAAACAACATGCAGTAATGAATTGGGAATTAAGAGTAAATTGATTATCAATGAAGATAAAAATGGGTATACTCTTTAACTTAAATTCACTAGACACTAGTGATCAAGAAATTTAGTTAAAGTGGATAAACTTTGCATGGTACAACAGTTAATACAGTTATTAGGGACGCTAGCATTGATAGTTAAAATTCGTGAATGTTACTGATGTCGAACTGAGCATACCCATGAAACGTAACGGTATACGGTGTATGGATGCAGAAAACGAAAAAAATATTGTGTACAAGAGCTATCTGTAGGTAGTGTCTAGAAAAATCAAAGTAATCATTCTCAAACTTCCTGACACTAGAAAATAACAAACCGCACCTTTGAATAAGAAAGATTGTATAATGACCAGTATTCGTTTAACCAACGCCAGGTTTCTTGACAAACGGTCTTATATTTTAATTCCAAATTAGTTTCATTCAGTTTAGATTTAAACCTTAATGGATGGATGTTTGAAGAGTACTGAAACGAATTAGGGTTGTGACAAGGCCAGGGTGGCAAGTCTTTTTTCGAATCCTGACTTTCCTTGATTTTAACAGATATTTTAGAAAGCTGTTTGTAGTAACCCATAGGAATAAACTTGTCGCCGTAGGCAAGAGATTGTGAACTGATGGAATTAATCGATTTGAACGCCGTACCGTAGGACCACATATTTCATCGAAAATATCTGCTTTATTTCATCTTCGGGTCGACCGGTAGTTAACCTTTTACAACATAATAACAATATTGATAAAATTTGCCAACAATCAAGAACTGTAGTTAACAAGTATAAAATAACCAAACAACTAACACGAGTGTAGGAAAGTTGTACGACATATGGAGAGCAAAATAAGCAGATTCACAATTGATTGATCACTGGGTGGTGATCAATATCATGCACATCAGTTCCTTCTTAGTGCAGATCGAATCCTACCGACCAAGTTACAATGTGGTCACTAGTCTAGGTGACTCGACATTGTGTACACCATCTTCTCTAAGTAGATTCAGTTAAAATTATAGTTAAAGCAGGACTGAAGTTAAGCTTACGAAAATACATGCCAGAAGAAGACTTAAATACGTCTAGAAGAATAAACCACTTCATAAAATACATGATTAAAATAATCAGTAGTGATCTGCGTCATGAAAAGCTTGTGATCCTCTTAGTAAATGGAATATTGAAATGAAGGAAATCTAGTACAGGAAACCTATCACTTTTAAAAACCTTAACAATTGCTTAATTCCGAAACTGAAATAGACCAAAGCTCACAATGCTGTTTTCTGGAACAAGACAGCAAGTCTATGGGTGCGGGATCTACGTTAAGATGTTTACTAGTCCCACTTTCTGGGAATCACTAATTTAATGCATATAGACAAGAGCATCTACTTTAAGGAAAATCAGCTACATAATTCTTATCCAAGCTGTATAATTTGAACGTAAACCATATGTTTACGTGCTCAATAATCAAATTTAAGTGGGATGCCTCAGATATCAGCTATAAATTAAAAGAACTGTATATTGCCCTTCGCTTAGCCAATCACATATTTTTACAGCATTATATCACTGAAATTTGAATGGAATAACTTGGACATCTCATAACTATTTGACTAAAATGTTCACATATTAAGCAAACTAGCTACATATTACATTTACAATATCAAAGTTTTTATGTCAAATATTGTACCGTAAACTTTAATCTGGACAATTAATTATTATCACTAGCTCTATTACAAAAGTGTGGTTCAAAGTTATATATATAGGTATGAAAATACCTCAGTCTATCTAGCTGATAGTGCTTTACCACCATCCCTGATGATCTCTTGAGTCAACCTAACTGGGTTTGCTGCCTAGTTATAGACCAGGTGGGTGTGCAGAACACCAATAATCTCGGGGATCTCATTAATCGTGGTACTCTGAGAACTGACAAAATCTCAACAAGGATACAAGTCCTTTTCAAATTTACATAACGTACAACATCAGTGAAATGAAAGTTTTGTCTATTAAACAGAGAGCACATAGCGCAGCACACCTTTTATCACTAAAACGGTTTTGAGAAAAAGACGTACATAAGTTGCTTTCGTTTGATCGTAGGTGTTTCTGAAACACTAGTCAACTTTAGTGGGGATACCGTATAATGTCTAATTTATGAATAGAGCACTAAGTGATGATAAATTGGTTGCTACGCTTTAGTCCAATGAAGAAGTTAAGATACATTACGCATACACATACATATAATGAAGGAACTATTATATAGGAGTTAAGTTATGAACGTGCATTAACCAACTACCTTTCTCCTAATCGCTTCAAGATTATATTTAATCAGTAAGAATTTGCACCAGAACCTGCGGTGTTCTGGAAATTGCAGTCCGCACTGCTTTATTGTTTGGGTCTTACTGGTCCTATTTAAAATAGGGTAAAGACTTTCTAACTTCGTGAAAGCTCTCTTTAACCTAAAAATGCTTCAAAATCTTTAACAGGAACGCAATACTTCATACAGAAATAGTGAAATTCAAATTAAAAAACGACGCGCACCCCATTAATTCCCATTCAAAGGCGACGCTAATTTTCAGAAGCGTTCACCTGACCGAGAAGAACGAGATTTTGAAAGGGCTTAGATGCCTTTCAATCAACCTGCCGTCAATTGAGGCAACCGAAAATGATGTATGGGATAACGAGTGTAGGTTTTAAATCAGATATCTTTTTTCTTTCTGACTAAATAAGAACGAATCAGAAAAAAAGAAAGGTCTCGAAATCCCACAAACGACCATATATCGGTGGAGCGCAGATTTCCCTACTGCATAATCGACTCTTAAAACCTACTACTAGAAAACATGATATTTGTACCTTTGTTGAACTTACTTAAGAGAATATCAGACATACAGAAGTATCCTGGAGAACTAGGTCATGCTTTCGAGCTTCTTTCCTTCATACATAAATCTGAATTTGCATCTGATGCTAAGGCAAATCCGGTCCAATAAATTTTTCCCCACTCGCATTATGCCTTCAAGTATTATTAAAATCTAAGTAATGGAGCATAGATGAGTTAAAATAATTTTACTTAAAAGCCTATTACAAGTTATCGTGTCATCGGATTGTAAAATACCAACGTCAAAACAATGCCTTTGATGATCTGCTGGCCTACATTGTTTGCAAAACAAACACATTAAACAAAGGCGTAACAATGAGTCGAAAGTGAGATGGTGGAGAAGATTTGTAGCTCAGGTGGATGATTTTGGTGGAGTTTTGTTCTCTGAGCTGGATGGTTTGGTCGTGGAGCTTTCATCTTTCTCCTGAACGACATCATCAGCACAAACTTCAGATAGAAGTGAAGTGTTTGAATTTCTCCATATGAGTCGAAAGTGACCAAACAACAAAACCAGCCAAAACTAATTATTAAAATTATTTTGACAGGCTAACTATGGATAAAATAGGGCTTATTTATGCATGACACGCACTTCGCTTGGTGTAGTAAAAATAAGAAACCCATACATGCACCCCAAACATGTTACAATAATACTAATTAGATCTAAACAGAACTTGGAGTTTTAGAATATACTTTATTCACATAACAATCTACGAGTGGAAAGTCATTTCTAAAAATACAATTTGGTTTAAATACAGACTAGAAGTGTTGTTCCATCATACTATGTGTCTATCTTTTCATCCGGAACTTGATTTGAACTCTGAAACGATCCACAATGAAGGTCAGAAAAACTTACCACAATACGGTGAGAAACTAAAGGAAGTGGTTGTTTAAAGTCATTATTACAATTGGAAATCCCCATCCCGAGACCAAAACCAGTCCCGAAGATAAGTGGCCATGGACGCCCTAGGCAAGTTATATAATACAGGAACTTACTTTTAGCAAGCACCACAGAAAATATGATTCCCCCAAATAAACCAGCACCTAGAAGCCGTTTTAGAAAACGTCATATCGAACCTGTCTTAATCAAGGTATCGGAAATACATCTATCAAGTTTAAATCCAAGTATATCTTCCGACTTAAAGTTCTCGCCCATCTGACTGAAACGCAAGAGTGAAAACAGGCGCTTTGATTTCAATACTCAAATAGTGTGAATCAATTGGTTGGGAAGTTTATAGGAATGTGACACTCAGTGTTTTATTGCGTTCATCCTGGAGGTGAATTGTGTATTGAGGGTGTATGAAGGACAGCATATGAAAGAATCGGGGGGAGAAGTGAACAATGAGTAAGCACATACTTTACACATATATTTGATTATAGAAGCAATCGACAACAGTCAACCATAACATTGGTATAAAATTAGGACAACCTGAAAATATTCCTACAGGCTCTCAACATTGATACTGATTTCATCATTTTTACTGGTCACACCTAGCTGAAGGCGCTCGACCACGAGTGGGCACGCCTTGTTATACATACCATGCGACCTTAGCCAGCACAGGCAGGACGCTTCCGGACTTATCAGTAATCGCCCAAATATATTTTCAAACCTTTTGATTTCCAACTGCTGATTTCACCGGGTTATTATACTTCGATAATAAAGGTTTACGTGTAAAGGAGATTTCATTAACACTATTACTGCATACTTAATGAATTTATTAAATACTGGGTTGGTGACTCTTTTCATGCATCTAAAAATGCGCTTGAAAGTTACTAGTGCAAGGCTTTCTGTAAATCATTTTTATTAGTGACAAAATAAAACTTTGAGCTGTTTGAAAGTTCACGATCTTTGCTGCTTACTGCGTACATTTTTGTCATGCTTATCGTTCGCTATATATCAAAAATTCTTTTTTCGATGAACAATTTTCAGCCATAGTATCAAAGAGTTTCGTATTTACAAAAGGTTTAAATTCCATTATTTGTGCAGTGAAATTTTTTTGGGCTGAATTTATCCATAGGTTGTGTATGTCCAGTCTAGACTCCATCCGAAGCAGGCTAAATTACTTAATCTCTGGGTCTTGTTCTCTTTGAACAGTTACGAACAGTACTCCTTGTCCGAAACATCACTGTAAGTTAATATCACATAGTCCGTATTCCTTGCAACAACAGTTTTCATGCATATATACATTGATCAATAAATGACATCTCAAGACATATACAGTATCTCTTAGAAGTGCTTGCAGTAGTTCGCGCTCTAACTTTACCCACCACTCTTAATGTCTCTATCAGCCTCCAGGATACAAAATGTTGGCACAATATTTCTCAAAGGGGATATTTCCCGTGCTTATATTTCACAAGCAAAGGTAGATTTCAAAGTGAGCATCGCTTATTGAGATTCGACACGGACCGTTGTCAGCATGTCTCATATACACATACATTCCTATGCGACGAAATCGATAAACAGTCCCAAACATTTTCGGTTCATTTATGAAACCCGAAATAGAAGGCAGAAGAATAAACTATACTCCGCCCACACTTACTGGTGCACAAAATATTGACTCTGCTTCTTACAACCTTCTCATTGAAGCGTCCACGTTAGTTAACAATGCAAACATGATTGTGTTGCTATCTTCCCCCTCCGAAGCCAAAATGCCGCTTCGAGACTAAATTGAGTCGGCTCTGAAATCAAGGGTAGAGGGTGAAGAAGTTGAACACACCGACCACTTCAGTTGTTAGTTCTGATTGTCCAGTGTCTGACGAAATAACAGCACAAATTCAGAAGGGAAATTGCTTCACTGATGGTGCAGGCGAGATATCTGTTTTCCAACCGAACGACGTCTTTTCTGCTCAGCAGTTTGCCCCATCCTACTTCGTGGGTGTCCAACAGAACCATTAAGAATAGAATATTTGAAGGTATTTTATAATAGATGTCTTCGAATAATCGCCATTGTATCTAGGGTCAACTGAATAGGCAATATCGGGGTTAGGAATAGATTTTTTGGTAGGAAGGTGGAAAGTTAATTGACCATTTGGTAAATCTTCATCAACTGAGGTGGTTCGGGCATGTGCCAAATAAACTAGGTGTATGAATGGGCTAGACGAAAGCAATGGAGATCAAATTGAAACACGATTTCAGTCCACAGAGTCACTGATAGTTGAATCGAGCCATATTCGAATGTGTAGACTATTTGGTTGCGGTCAATATGATTATCGTAACCAATGGTTGAAGACTATGAATGATATGGCTGAAAATCGTTTGGAGTGATGCAGGAACATCCATTATTTGTCTTCCACCAGATTTTGAACTCTTAAATTCCTTAAAACGTTTCCTGAGTATTTTCATCAACGTCTACTCAGTTGGGTCGTATATTCGTAGCCTCGTCGTTTTAATCCCTACACATGCTGGCCTAACAACACTTCTCTATACTAATAGGATGTGACAACTCGAACCGACCTACATACATATAAGGTTCTAGCTCACGGAGAGTTAAAATTTATAGAGAATTAATCAGTCAGCATGCTACTTGTTTTGTTCACAACCTCAGTGAAAACACAGGGTGATGTCTTTGCGACAGTGGCTGGAACATATCACCATTAAGTAACCTTTCATATTCTATAAATTAGCAATTCACAACCGGCTATCTACTTTATAGTGACGAGTATATTCAGTAATTTTGTAACGACGAAAATAATGGCCACGTTTCTTCTTATTTGTGACACATTATGCGTAACGTTATATACATTCAATATCTATTGTTTGCCTGTATCAATTACAAATGGACATATTAACGACATGTGATTGAAGATAAACATCTTGTTAAACCGTCTTATTATGAGTGGGGTTTCTGACCCAGATTATTACTCAATAACACTAGTGGGTTCAGATTTTTCTTCAGTGCCAACCGTTCAAAAAACCTTTGTTTATCAAGCGTACTTCAGGAGCCTATTTCATAACCATTATCATTTCTGCTATATAATGAACCATTCCGCTGCAAGCCTTATTTGTTAAAGTTCTGTTTTGTTCATAGACAGTCAGTGTTATTATTTTTGAGTATTTTATAGTTAAAACTAAAACGAAGCAACTGATTTCATATTTCAGTCTTATTCTTAGACTTTGGGAGAGCTCTTGATAAGGTTACACACTAAAGGGTTCTCGTCAAACTACAGTTCTTCAAAATCAACAAGCCACTGTACTCATGTTTTGCTCCATTCCTAACAGAAAGTAAACAAAAGTTAAAGGACAACGACTATCTCTCTCATCACCTACATCAATAACTAGTGGAGTCATCCAGGGGCGTGTATTAGGTTCTCTCTTTGTTCTTATGTATATAAACGATATCTGCGACACCACAAAATTTGGAAGACCATACTTATACGCTGATGATCTCAAAACAGTATACAGCTTTAAGCCTAATTGGAAGTGTATCTCAGATCCAAAGTGACATCAATAACCTAACTACCCGGAGCGATAAAGGACAATTATCATTTAATCTCAACAAGTGTGGAATCATACATTTTGGAAAACATCCGTATGATTTACAACCTTACTTCAATAAAAGTAGAGTTCAAACACTGGAATCAGCTCACAATCTAGGCAATATTTACATAGGAAGCCTAAAGTTTGGAGAATATGCCTTGTTTATTATTTCTAAATCTAGACGACTAATTGGTTTCATAACGAAAAGTCTCTTCACAACAGAGCCTAAGCTTACCCCTTACAAAATATGTGTATGATCTCCTCTTGAATACTGCTCTTTTATTTTCTCTAATATGAATATGACAGACAAGATAAGACTAGATGTTCAAAGACGCTTCACATCAACAGCTAGGAATTGACTACTCTCGATTACACAAATACATGTAAGCACCTCTCTTTGAAACATTTATGGCACCGTAGCCTAGGGGAAAATCTAATATTTCTGTACAAAGCAATATATGGATTCTCATTTCAAACCTCCTGCCCAACTATGATCCATGACCGAGCCTATAGACTAAGGAACAACGCATATACACCGCTTATAGTAAAACACCAAAAACCAATGTGTTGTAAGTTGTTTACAGTGCGTATGGTTTATTATAGGATAGGTCGCTAATGCTTATTCGTAACTGTGACACTATCATGAAGTGCAAAATACTAATAACATTATTACTTGACACTTAAGAGTTTCGTCAAATATTTTCTGAATTTCCATCCACCAATGAAGCACTTTATCATAGACCACCTAATATCTGGACCGATCATGAATATGACGAACCCCAATTGTCAGTAATATGAATATAACACAATAACTGAACACATGGTTTACTCTCTCTCGTTATTTATTGGTTAGTCATGTCCTTATGCTCCCACTCCTCAATTTCAGATTCCGAATCTCTCTGACTGCTAAATTTCATTATTCTTGATATGTGCCATGTCCTTTTTTCCATTACAAGTAGACAGATAACTCACTAATCTTATTGATGCCGATTAATTAAGGCTGTTCATAAGAAGCTCAAAATGTCCTAAATTCCTGTGAGTCGCTCAATGTTTTGTTTTCTTACTCAGAAAATTTTACAATTCTAAACTCTTACATATTCTTTCATTTGCTCTCTATCCTTATCGTATATGAACCACATGTAATCTGACCTGTGTTGTATAACTTATGCCATTAGTTATCTTCGTAGCAGTGTGATGTAATAAATGGATATCTAACCCACAATATTGAGGCTTTAACTATCTGGTTTGCTTGTAACATGAAACCAATAAAGATAGTGTATTCCAACAGAGAGCTTAGATAAAAGCGATATTCATACACACCACAAACGTAAGAGAGCGTAACATTACAAAAGGAGGGAAGAAGGCATTACTGACCAGAAAACATGATGGTGGGAGGTAGTTTCAATCCAATCACGTCTGTAGGACAGAACATGTTAAATTACGGCTCCTTGTGGTCAAGTAGAATTTCATGAACCAACGGTATTGATGTTAGTTTATTATGCGAAATACCGCTTCGAATTGTGTTTGTGACGTTGAACTGGTTTCACTTCCCACCAATTAGTCCTTTTACAAGCAAAACCAGGCAATTCGCTGAAAGCGAAGCTTGCTCATGACAATGCAAAATAAATAAAAATGAGCTGAAATGGTTTTGACAAAAAAAGGAAGATAGCCATTAGTGTCTCAGAATACTGTTTTTAACCCTATATTTTAAAACTTAATAT